CCTTCCCTACCCCTGTTCCAACCCCCTGCAAGCCCCTCACCTCCCACCTTGATGCAACTGGTTTCCTCCCTCTGGTGCCTCCCTTGCACCGCTCGCCCCTCTGCTCACCCTCTGCCCGCCCTTTTTCCTTGCCCTCAGCTGGCCCAACCCCTGCCCGTTGCTGCCCATCCCCTTGCCTTCTCAACTCTCTGGCCCCCCGTACACCCCAGTCCCATCCAACCGCCCCCACCCTCCCTCGGCTGCCCGTTTCCGCTTTCCACCCCCGCGACCGCGTGCGGCTTCCAACCGCCCAACGGTCGTGTGCACGGGGCGTTTCTTCGCGCGGGCAAGCCTCTCTTGCGCCCCCCCACCCCGCTGAGCCGTCATTCGGGCAAAAAAACGAGGTTGGAAAGATGCGACGCGCTAAAATCGTCCTTTCTTTTTCCCGCTTGCCCCTCCCCGGCACGTGCCGAGCAAGGGGCATAAATGGGTACAACACGAGGACTTCCCGGGAGGTCACCCTGCCCAGTACTGCTCTCGCCCACCGGCGCTTAGCTTCGGAGTTCTGATGGGATCCGGCGTAGTAGCCGAGGTATGATCGTACCACGTCCGTCCCATGCCCCGACCGGTACACGCCCCTTGCCCGGGGTCCCCCCTTCATAGTCACACCCCCTGCCCCCTCGTGCCATCCGCTCCCCCCGCCCCTACCCTCCGTGTGCCCGCTCCCTCGCTGCCTCTTTTGACCCTCCCTGCCCCCCCTTGCCGTTTCCCACCGCCCGCCGCTCGTCCCTCCCCGCCCGTGCCCTCCCCTCGTTTACCTTCTCCTCCCCCCTCCCCCACTCTGCCGCACGCTTCTTCCTTCCACTCGTTAAGCTACTCCACTCCCTGCCTCTCCCCAATCCGCACCCCACCCCTCGTTTCTGGCCCCTCTGCGCTCGGTGTCTCCCCTCCCTGCACCTCGCTGCTTTTCTCCGCTCCCCTCCTCCCCCCTCTCCCTGCACCTCCACTCTCCCCCCCTTGCCCTTGGCTTTCCACCTCCCTGCCCCACGTTTCCTCCCTCTGTGTGCTCAGCTTCTCCCCCCCCCTGCCTCTCCCTCCTCTCCGCCCTGCCCCTCGTTTTCCACCCCCCCACGCCCGTTTTCCCCTCTCCCTGCACCTCCCTTGCTTTCTCCGTGCCTCACCCCCGTTCCCTCCTTGCCCCTGGCTGCTCGTGCCCCTGTCCTTGGTTTCTCCCCTCCCTGCCCCACATTACTTCCCTCCCTGTGCTTACCTTGTACCCCCTCTGCCCCTCCTTTGCTTTGCCCGCACCCATCGCTTCTCCCCTCCCTGCCCTTGATTTCCCGCACCTCTGCCCTTGTTCCCTACCATCCATGCCCCTCGGTTCTCCGCATTGTACGTTCAGCCTCTTCCCTCCCTTCCCCTCCCCTCCTCCCCCCATGCCCTTTGCTTTCCCCTTGCTACGCCCCCCTTCTCCCCCTCCTTGCTGCCCCCTTACTACCATTAGCCCTTCAAAACCCCAAGCCCCCTCTCGTTCCTACCCTCTCTCTCTCTCTCTCTTCTCCCCGCACCCCCCCTACCCACATCCTCCCGTTCTGCCCCTTCCCTACCCCTGTTCCAACCCCCTGCAAGCCCCTCACCTCCCACCTTGATGCAACTGGTTTCCTCCCTCTGGTGCCTCCCTTGCACCGCTCGCCCCTCTGCTCACCCTCTGCCCGCCCTTTTTCCTTGCCCTCAGCTGGCCCAACCCCTGCCCGTTGCTGCCCATCCCCTTGCCTTCTCAACTCTCTGGCCCCCCGTACACCCCAGTCCCATCCAACCGCCCCCACCCTCCCTCGGCTGCCCGTTTCCGCTTTCCACCCCCGCGACCGCGTGCGGCTTCCAACCGCCCAACGGTCGTGTGCACGGGGCGTTTCTTCGCGCGGGCAAGCCTCTCTTGCGCCCCCCCACCCCGCTGAGCCGTCATTCGGGCAAAAAAACGAGGTTGGAAAGATGCGACGCGCTAAAATCGTCCTTTCTTTTTCCCGCTTGCCCCTCCCCGGCACGTGCCGAGCAAGGGGCATAAATGGGTACAACACGAGGACTTCCCGGGAGGTCACCCTGCCCAGTACTGCTCTCGCCCACCGGCGCTTAGCTTCGGAGTTCTGATGGGATCCGGCGTAGTAGCCGAGGTATGATCGTACCACGTCCGTCCCATGCCCCGACCGGTACACGCCCCTTGCCCGGGGTCCCCCCTTCATAGTCACACCCCCTGCCCCCTCGTGCCATCCGCTCCCCCCGCCCCTACCCTCCGTGTGCCCGCTCCCTCGCTGCCTCTTTTGACCCTCCCTGCCCCCCCTTGCCGTTTCCCACCGCCCGCCGCTCGTCCCTCCCCGCCCGTGCCCTCCCCTCGTTTACCTTCTCCTCCCCCCTCCCCCACTCTGCCGCACGCTTCTTCCTTCCACTCGTTAAGCTACTCCACTCCCTGCCTCTCCCCAATCCGCACCCCACCCCTCGTTTCTGGCCCCTCTGCGCTCGGTGTCTCCCCTCCCTGCACCTCGCTGCTTTTCTCCGCTCCCCTCCTCCCCCCTCTCCCTGCACCTCCACTCTCCCCCCCTTGCCCTTGGCTTTCCACCTCCCTGCCCCACGTTTCCTCCCTCTGTGTGCTCAGCTTCTCCCCCCCCCTGCCTCTCCCTCCTCTCCGCCCTGCCCCTCGTTTTCCACCCCCCCACGCCCGTTTTCCCCTCTCCCTGCACCTCCCTTGCTTTCTCCGTGCCTCACCTCCGTTCCCTCCTTGCCCCTGGCTGCTCGTGCCCCTGTCCTTGGTTTCTCCCCTCCCTGCCCCACATTACTTCCCTCCCTGTGCTTACCTTGTACCCCCTCTGCCCCTCCTTTGCTTTGCCCGCACCCATCGCTTCTCCCCTCCCTGCCCTTGATTTCCCGCACCTCTGCCCTTGTTCCCTACCATCCATGCCCCTCGGTTCTCCGCATTGTACGTTCAGCCTCTTCCCTCCCTTCCCCTCCCCTCCTCCCCCCATGCCCTTTGCTTTCCCCTTGCTACGCCCCCCTTCTCCCCCTCCTTGCTGCCCCCTTACTACCATTAGCCCTTCAAAACCCCAAGCCCCCTCTCGTTCCTACCCTCTCTCTCTCTCTCTCTTCTCCCCGCACCCCCCCTACCCACATCCTCCCGTTCTGCCCCTTCCCTACCCCTGTTCCACCCCCCTGCAAGCCCCTCACCTCCCACCTTGATGCAACTGGTTTCCTCCCTCTGGTGCCTCCCTTGCACCGCTCGCCCCTCTGCTCACCCTCTGCCCGCCCTTTTTCCTTGCCCTCAGCTGGCCCAACCCCTGCCCGTTGCTGCCCATCCCCTTGCCTTCTCAACTCTCTGGCCCCCCGTACACCCCAGTCCCATCCAACCGCCCCCACCCTCCCTCGGCTGCCCGTTTCCGCTCTCCACCCCCGCGACCGCGTGCGGCTTCCAACCGCCCAACGGTCGTGTGCACGGGGCGTTTCTTCGCGCGGGCAAGCCTCTCTTGCGCCCCCCCACCCCGCTGAGCCGTCATTCGGGCAAAAAAACGAGGTTGGAAAGATGCGACGCGCTAAAATCGTCCTTTCTTTTTCCCGCTTGCCCCTCCCCGGCACGTGCCGAGCAAGGGGCATAAATGGGTACAACACGAGGACTTCCCTCCCTGCAGCGTACCCCCTCTCTCCCCCCACCTGTCTCCCTTCAGCAGCCCACCCCCACTCGGCCCACCACCTCTCTACGAGCCGGGCTCACCCTCCCAGCCGCCATTTCCCCCTCATCTGTATCCAGCGTGGACATCACCCCAGCATTCCTTTCCCCCTGTCCCCCCGGCGATCCACCTGTCCCACCCCGGCACTAGACAGCCTTCCCCATCCGCAGCCACCCTCTACTCCCCGTGTTCCTGCCCCCTGTGCCTTCCCGCCCTCTTCCCCAACCCACCCCAGACCCCCCCTTTCCTCATATCCTCCACCTTCACTCCCCCCTGGGGGCCGCCCCTCCGCTATTATCACCTATCGCCGTGTCCCCCGTCCCCTCCGTCCCCTGTGTTTCAGCCCCCCATTTACTTCTCCATTCACCACAGTCCCTCCCTTCGGTGCCCTCTCTGCCCTCCAACGTTCACACCTCCCGCCCCGGGGCCTCTCCTTTACCCACTGCCAGGCTCACACCAGCTTGACCACCCGTTCCCTCGTCAACAGCTATTCGCCCCTTGCCCTCTGCCCTTTGCCCCTCCTCCTTGGCCCTCCTCCTTTCCCTTACCCCTTTGCTTCACCTGCCCACCCCCACCTCCCTTTGAATTCTGTTCCAGCCCCCCACCTTCGGTTCCACCACCCTGCCCACCTCCCGCTCCATCACCCCCGCTCCCCCACCTCCCCTGCAACCCGCCACCACTTCCTCTCCCTTTCTGTCCCCCAGCCACTCCCTCTGCAGTCCCCCACCCCTTCCACTGGTCTGCCCCCTCCTACCCCCTCTCCAGCCCTCCACGCACCCCTTTCCCTACCCCCTTCCCCTGTTCCCAAGCTACCCCCCCTCACCCCGGCCTCTGCCAGGAAGTATCTACTCCCTCTGACGCCCCTTCCAGCCAATCCCAGCCACCCACACCGCCACCACCAGGCATGCCGCTCCTGTAACCATGCCCCAGCACCCCGCGAGTGGGGGGAAGGCAGACCCGGGAGCCCCTCGGCGATCTGGGAGGGCCCGCAGCAGAGCCACCCCCTACGCACCCACTCCTCCCACTTCAACAGTTAGGAAAAAACAACACACATCGGAGCAAGCGAAAACACCCAAGCGCCCTGACCCCCGGGGCCAGAAGCGTACCCTTGAAGAAGATGGAGTGCAGGAACGCCAAGCCCCACTGGAAGAAACACACGACGAGGAGCCAGCACGCTCAAAACCCCGCCCCAACCCCACTGCCCCATCCTCGCCCACCCTCCATCCAGATGATAGCGGGGGCGCCTGTGCACGCCCAGGGGAGAGGTCTGCTAACTCACACACTACCTCCCACTCTCAGGCCAAAACATACATGAAAATGCCAAATCCCACACGCGCACCCAGGCACATAAAGGTGGGAGAGGGCAGAGCAGGGGAGAACTTTGCAACAGACGCTACAGGGGAAGGGGTAAGTGAGGCTATGGGTGAAGGGGCAGTAAAGGCTGCACGGGAAGAGGCAGCAGAGGCTGCAGCGGAAGGGGCAGCAGAGGCTACCTGTCAAGGGGTAGCAAAGGCTGCACGGGACGGGGCAGCAGAGGAGGCAAAGGAAGGGGCAGCTGAGGCTGCAAAGGAAGGCGCAGCAGAGGCTGCAGAGGAATTGGCAGCAGAGGCTGCAGAGGAATTGGCAGCAGAGGCTGCAGAGGAATGGGTAGCAGAGGCTGCACGGGATGGGGCAGCAAAGGCTGCACGGGAAGGGGCTGCCGAGGTCACTGCGGAAAACCCAGGATGGGGAGTTGCAAGAAGAGCAGCGGAGCTGGCTGCAGGGACCGCAGCAGGTGAGGCGGCACAGCTCGCATCAGGTGGGGCTGCAGAGACCGCAGTGGGTGAGGCTGTGGGGCCCGCAGCAGGCGAGACTGAAGTGACCGCAACAGGTGAGGTTGCAAGGACCGCAGCAGGTGAGGCCGCAGGGACCGCAGCAGGTGAGGCTGCAGGGATCACAGCAGTTAGGGCTGCAGGGACCACAGCAGGTGAGGCTGCAGGGACCGCTGCAGGTGGGGCTGCAGGAACTACAGCAAGTGGGGCTGCAGGTGCCGCAGAGGCTGCGGAGGAAGGGGCAGCAAAGGCTGCACGGGAAGGGGCAGCAACGGCTGCTTGGGAAGGGACAGCAGAGGCTGCACGGGAGGGAGCAGCACAAGCTGCACAAGAAGGGGCAGTAGAGGTCGCACGGGAAGGGGCAGCCGAGGTCGCAGAGGAAGGAGCAGGTGAGGCAACAGGGACAGCAGTAGGTGAGGCCGCAGGGACAGCAGCATTTAAAGCTGCAGGGACTGCAGCAGGGGGGGCTGGATGGACTGTAGTAGGTGAGGCTGCAGGGATTGCAGCAGGTGAGGCCGCAGGGCTGGTGGAAGGGGAGGCTGCAGGGGCCGCAGCAGTTGAATCTGCAGGAATTGCAGCATGTGGGGCTGCAGGGGCCGCAGAAGGTGAGGCTGCAAAGACCGCAGCAGGTGAGGCCACAGAGGCTGCACCAGGGGCGGCCGGGGCCACGGTTGGGGCAGGGACAAGGGAGAGGGCTATAGCGGCTGCAAGGGGGAAGAGTGTAACGAAGGCAGCGGCAATGGAGAGCGCGGCCCCGGTTGTAGCAGGGGGAGGCGAGAGAGTGACTGCAGCAGGAGAAGGGACAGCAAGGGCCACACGGACAAAAGGTATGGCTGCAGCCGAAGTAAGAGAGGGGGCCATGGCACAGCCAGTGGGGGCGGTGGAGGCTGCTGTAGGCGCGACAGAGGCCACAGCAGGGCGGAGAGAGACGGCATATGGAGCGCAAGGGGCCGCAAAAAGGGCGGGCAGGGAAGAGCCAGCAGGGGGTGTGGGCTCAGGGGGCGTAGGGGCACCCGAGGACGCGATGCACATCGACGGGCCACTGAACCACTACCTCACACCCGCCGATGAGGCTGATCTAGCCCCCTTGCAGCCCCATGGCAAGGTCTCTACTTCCCCCACCATTCCCAACCCCCCAATGGCAGGTGAACCGATGGAGGGACTGGAGGAGGTACGAAGGACCAAGCCCCTTGAGGGCGCGCCCACCCCTACCCCCCACTCTTCAGCCCACTCTCTCCCAGAAGCACCACACCCCCGCCCCCACCTTCCGGGACCCCCTCCAGGATCCAGTGGGGCAGCCAGGGCCCTGGCTTTCCTAGCGGAGCCATGTTCCCCGACTCCTACACAGTCCTATGACCAGCCCCCCCCTCTTCCCCCAATGACAGACCCCTCGCATGAAGACGGTCCACCGGGAGGGCGCACAGGCGTAGTAAGGGCGGAGCCTCCCAAGGATGCCCCCATTCTCACCTCTCACCCCTCCTCGCTCCTCCCCTCGCCCCCAAGACCAGCACACTCCTGCCCCCACCCCCAAGGGTTCCCCCGAGCACCACGGGGAGCAGCCAGAGCCCTGGCCTTCCTGGCGGAGCCCTGCTCCCCGACCCCTAACAGTACCCAATCCTCTCCTGCCTGCCTGCTACCTCCCCCTCCACCAGGTCCTCCCCCACCCGGAGCTACACACATTTCGCAGGTCCAAACTTCAACCGGGCCACATCACCCTCCATCCCCCCAGCGCCCCACACCCTACATACACCCTAACCACCCAAGCCGCCGCACAGCCCCAACCCTTTCACCTAAAGTGCTGCCCTTTTCACACCATCCCCCCCAAGCAGCTCAGACCCATACGCAAGGGCCCTCGCCCCTAGCTTATGGGGGGGACGACATCTCGGTAGAGGGGCCCACAGGAGAGGCCACCAGTGGGAGGGGCCCTGACCCCAACCCACAGCACGGGGGCACAACTTCAAAACCGCGGTCCCATCTCCCCTCCCCACCCCCTTCCACCATACAGCCACCTAAGTCCTCACTCCCCCCTCCGCAGGCACCACGGCCAAACCTCCACACTGCCCTAGCCCCTTCCCCACAGCACACAAACCCCTCCTTCGGTGCGCCTCCACACGAGTGGCCACGCTGGGCAAACATCGCCCATCTCATAGGGGCAGATGGGATGCTCACTGAGCTCCCCCCACATGGCCAACCACCTGTCCTCCCCCCACCGACCCTGTCGGCTTCTCAGCCCCCCCTTCCTTCACAGCCAGACATGGACAACCAACACAAGGCTGGCCGCCGACGGAAGAACAAAGGGAAAGGAGGCAAAGAGCCAGCTAATCTACTCCCCTCTCCCTCCCTCCCCTCCCAGGCGCCCCTCGTTACCCCACATCACGCTCAACCCACACCAGGCCTTACACCTACTGGCCAACCATCTAACCCACACCCGCCTCCCGTGTGTGCCTCTCCAGGGGACAAGGAGAACGAACCAGCTCATTCACTCCCGGGCCGCCTCTCACTCGGTCTTCACCCCCCCCAGGTGGCGGCGACCGCATACGCTACCAGGATAGAGGCCGATGGGAGGAGAGATGTGGTCATGGCAGACGCCACTGACTCCTCGTCTCATACCTCCCACCCCGTCCATGTCGATGGCTCCCTACCGCAGCCCATGGCCATCGGAGAGGGCCATGCTGGCCTCTTAGGCCAAGGACCATGCCTGAGCACCGCCTGGCCAGCTGGCCCCACCCCATCCCCCACTCGGCCAACGCTCCTACCCTCTCCAGCAGGCAGGCAGGTCGCCGGAACCCCACAGGAGGTGAGGGCTGCCATCTCAGACCTGCTGGCGATACAGGGCCCTAGCAGCTCCCCGGCTGCCCCCCCCTTATCAGTCCCACAGGCCCGGATCCGGACGTATGCGGAAGTCACTCGCTCGGTCCCTTCTTCTACCCCTCCCACTACCCAGCCTGGCTCGTCACTCCCCTCACCGATGGAGACAGACCTGGTTCTGAGGCCATGTCACTCGCACCCAGACGTGGTTGTGCCTCCCCCCACTCAGCCTGTTGCCGACACACTACCCGTGGCGCAGGAGGGCACCAGTGTCAGGTATGAGGCATCCGCCCTTGCTGATGCCCCTCCGTCTGGCGTAGCAGAGCCCCCACTCCGACCCCACCCCACCGAGGGAGAGGGGCATACCACGGCCCACACTCCAGATCCACCTCCACATCCCTCCTCCCTGGCCTCGGGGCCGGTACTGCCACGAGGCCCAGCCCCATCCAGTGTGGCACCACCTCCACCTCTGCCGACACCCCCCCTGCACGGGGCCAGTGAGCCCTCTCCCCCCTCTATCCCAGGCGATTTTCGGGGAGCTCAGGCGGCGGACGGGGTCCCCTCTACAGCCAGTTCCGACACCACGGCCCCGATCGACCCCGCCGACACGGCGACTTCACCCGACCAGGCCGTGATATGCCCCACCTGCAGGAGCCCCCTCGCGAACCGACGCGCGCTCCAGCACCACACCCCCTTCTGCCATCCTGCGGACGCAGCTCGCAGGGCACACGCCGTCCATGACGCCACCTCGATCCTCCCTTCCCTCTCACAGCCCCGTGCGACCGGGATACAGTTCACCGACGCACAGTGGCAGACGCTTGACTCGGTGGACTGGACGGAGTACTTCTCGCCCGAGCGTATTCATGCGCGCCCTCTCCGGCGTGTCCCGGAGAGGGTCCGCGGAGGATATCTCGACGTCCTCAGTTCGATCCTAGCCCGCATTGCCCAGGACCCGGAGGCTGCTGGCCCTACCTTCTTCCTTGCTGCAGCGCCGACCCTTTTCCTTGCTCCAGCGACGCCACCCGACCGCTCGCACACGGCTGCCATTGCAGCGCGCATCTCCCGTTTTGGTCGAGGTGAGTGGGATGAGCTACTCTCAGATGCACTAGGCCGCCGCACCCCCCTCCCTCGGCGCACGGGTCACCGGTCACGCACCGCCACCGACCCCTCCACAGCAGACGAGCGACGCATTGCACGTTGCCTTCGCCTGGCAGCATGCAATGAGACGTCACGGGCCTGCGCGGCTCTCGAGTCCGCAGAGGCAGCCCCAGATACACAGGGGACGATACAGCGCCTGCGGTCGAAGCACCCCCCCGCGGAGAGGCCGACCCCAGCTTGGCTGCCGGGTTTCCAGGGTTCTGCCCTCGTGCTCTCAGTGGATCACTTACGTCGCGCGATCTTTACAGCTCCGCGGGGCTCCTCGGGAGGACCGTCCGGTTGGGTCGCTGAGCATCTCCGAGACACTTTTCTTGCTTTTCCTCAGAGTCTCCATTTCCTCCTGGCTGTGTACCAGCAGTGGCTCCGAGGTCGTTGCGCTCCAGCTGCACGCTCCTTGCTAGCGTCCTCCACCCTCGTGGCTCTGGCGAAGTCGAACATGGATGTTCGGCCGATTGCCATTGGCGAGGTGTTGGTCCGCATTCTCTCGCGAGCAGTCTGTCTCCAGCTTCGTGACCAGATGGCGAGAGTCTTCCTGGCGTCGCAGCAGTTTGGGGTGGGGGTGACGTGCGGGACGGAGGTCGTGGTTAGGGGCGTCCGCCGTGCTCTGGCTGACCACCCAGACTGGGTGGTCCTGCAGCTGGACGTGGCGAATGCCTTTAACTCTTTCCACCGAGACAGGATGTTTCAGGCTCTGCAGGCCAGTCCGGAGTTCCAGTGCCTGATCCCCTTCATCGGCCTCTTCTACGGGACGCCCTCGGACCTCCACTACAGGTCAGGTACGGGAGTGGTTACGATGCACTCGGAGCGTGGCACTCGCCAGGGAGACCCCCTCAGCCCCTTCTTGTTCGCTCTCACACAGCGCCTTGCCTTGGAGCCTGTTCTAACGGAGGGAGATGTCCAGCTCTGGTCGTACGCTGATGACACGTACGTGCTAGGTCCCCCAGACAGGGTGCTACACCATTTTGCCGAGATCGTGAGGCGCTTGAGCGAGATGGGCCTTGCGGTCCAGTCGCACAAGTGCCTCGTCTACCAGACAGAGGCCTACCGGTCCAGGGATGCAGAGGCTTTCACGAGCCTGGGGATCGAGGTCGCACGCCGAGGACTCACGGTGACGGGCGTGCCAGTGGGCAGCGTCTCGTTTGTGGAGCGTAGCCTCCCAGATCGTCTTGAGAGGATGGGGCGGGTGCTACCCTGGCTCCCGAGGTTACGCCAGCCCCAGACAGCTGCTCGTCTTCTTTCGGCGTGTGTCAGCACTCGCCCGCAGTACTTGTCCAGGACCGTCCCTCCCTCACCCGCGGTGCTCTCCAGTTTCACACAGTGGGACGCACGCTTGGGTGAGACATTTCAGCAGCTTCTAGTGCCGGGGACCTGGGCTTGTCGCGAGGACGTGCGAGAGGCCGCCCAAGACCAGATCTTCCTCCCCATCCGCCTCGGGGGCTTCGGCATTCGGCGCATGGCGCGCATCGCCCCGGTGAGTTACGTGTGCTCTTGGGTGCAGTGTGCACCCATTCTTTGTTCTCTCCCTGCGTGCGGCGAGGTGTTTCGGCAGAGCTTCGCTTCAGGGGAGCCAGAGCAGATCGACCGGGCTCTACAGCTGGCGCTAGAGGGTCTCCCACCTGACGTCCTCTCTCTCCTTCCCTCCTGGCCCTCTTGCGCTTCTGCCTCTCCCGATTCCCTTTTTGCAGGAGCGAGCCGCCTTCTGGAGGCGCACGCTTTGGAGGCCGTGCGTGCCCGTCACACCTCTCCCTTGCACCTTGCCCGTTTGACTTCCCTTCAGGGCGGAGGTGCAGGAGCGTGGTTGCAGTCGGTGCCGTATGCCGATCCACTGCGCCTCTCAGAGGCGCTGTGGCAGGTGGCTTCATCATCTCGTCTTGGTCTCCCTATCCCCCAGTTAGCCCTTACAGGTCAGTGCTCCTGTGGACAGGCGATCGACGACATGACGGTGCCTCATCACGCGGTCCGGTGCCCACGTTTCGGCGTCGCCACGACCATCCACGACACGGTGAAGTTCATGCTCCGAGACTTCGCGGTCGAGGCGGGTTTCGCGGTGAAGGTGGAGGACTCTACGCTGTTCACACAGTTAGAGGAGGCTCGAGCGAGGCTGCAGGGACTGCCGGTGGCGGGAGGGGGGACACGGGCTGGGGGACCGCTGGAGCAGAGGGGCGAGGCGCGACTGCCGGGTGGCGACGGGCAGTGGGGACAGCATCAGCGGCGGGGGCGGGTGGCACGAGGGGCAGGGGGGCTGAGGGGGCGGCAGGGGGAGCAGACTGGCCAGGGCGAGGAGGGGGAACAGCAGAGACAGCGGCAGGAGAGCCAGCGGAGGCCGCAGGCCCAGGGCGCCGCGCCTTCGGGTTTGGGCCCGGGGGTGGGTCAGGAGCGGGAGCAGCAAAGAGCGGACGGAGGTGCAGGGGGGGCAGCGGGATCGGGAGGGGAGGACCAGGGAGTGAGAGAGGCAGCAGGGGAT